TCCTTGCTCCCTCTTCCCAGGTGCTGATGTCCTTTCACAGGCCTTTGATTGTGCTTCAGTATTATTTGAAGCTGCCGGAGGAGGAAATCCAGATTCAGTGACTCTTTTACTGGAGTATGGGGCTGATGCCAATGTACCAAAGCACTCGGGTCACTTGCCAATCCATAGAGCTGCATATAGAGGACACTATCTGTGAGTTGGAATGTACCTGAAAATTAAGAATTAGGAATGATGAAGGAGCTTTAAATGTATTATTTATTTATGCAGACACACCCATATGGTAGGGTATTACCCCCACTTTACAGATCAAGAAAGAGAGAGACTAGCCAGTGTTGGCTTTTTCATGATAGATGAATCAGTGCCCAAAACAGGAAGAGAAATCCTAACTCTTAACCCCTAGTGAACCAAACAGGAACTGCTCTTAGATATCCAGGTGAAATGAGACTATAGAGCCTTTAGCAGTTTCTTCAGACTGACATAAGGTCATTCCATTTACTGAGAAGGGGACATGCATTCTTCCTAAAAGGAAAGATAAATACGATGTTTGATCCTTTGCAGTAGTTTTGAAATAAAGAGACTGGCTACCTTGTGACTGTTAGAGGTTAAAACCAGTGCTACCTGCCAGGATGCTGACTTGGTGGAAGATTAGCTTAAGTGTAAGCAAAGCAATGTTTGTGCTAAACTCTATAATCCAACTCATTCAGACTTACATAACAAGGGTTCTAGCACAGAGCAGCTCAAAGGTATATTTAAAATTCTCATTTTTTTTCTTCAGAGCTTTGAAGTGCTTAGTTTCAGTTACTGATTTTGATGCCATTGAGGAGAGTGGGGTAAGTCCAGTTCACTCTGCAGCAGCAGGAGCACATCCTCAGTGCCTCGAATTTCTCCTCAAATCTGGGTTTGATGCCAATTTCATGTTGGGTCAGAGAATTCACAAGGGCTATGATGACGAGCGGAAATCAGCTCTATATTTTGCTGTCTCAAATGCAGATATCTCTTCAGCGCAACTGCTCCTGAATGCTGGAGCCCTGCCAAATCAAGACCCCATTAACTGTCTTCAGTTAGCTTTGAGGATGGGCAACTATGAGTTAATGAGTCTTTTGCTTCGCCATGGGGCCAATGTAAATTACTTCTGCAGAGTGAATACAACACATTTCCCATCGGCTTTGCAGTATGCACTGAAAGACGAAGTCATGTTAAGGATGTTGTTGAATTATGGGTATGATGTGTACCGCTGCTTTGATTGTCCTCATGGAGACAACTCCCATTCCCAATATGTGTTTGCAGGATGGACTTCTACTGTTATCAAAGACACAATGGTAAGTACTTCAAAAGACTTTGCATGTCATTGTTTTGCTGCCTGTACTGCTCAGAATTAAATGTTTGTTCATGCTTTGATTAATGTGTTACAATCTACCAATATAGAAAGATTTGGGTAAAGGTAGTGGTAGACAAAGTTCTGAAGACAATTTAGTGGGCACTGGTCATGAAGCCGTGTTTATGATAAATCATTAGAATAAATAAATAATGCATTTAAAGCTTGAATGGACTCAACCATATCAAAGAATTCAAGTGAACACCAGTCTGGTTCTTATAAGAGACTGTTTGATCCATGAGTTAAGTCAGCAGCTGACAAGAATACAGTTGACATCTGAGGATCCAAGACAGGCATAGAAGGCCCTGCTCAGTTCTTTGAAAGACTGTCTTCAGGGATGTGTTCCCAGGGGGATACACCTTGAGACGTGGGACTTCAGGAACATCCCTGCACTTCCCCATTGACTAGAATTATGTAGCGCTCTGTAGGGTATAAGGTTGCTTTGGGTCCCAATTCGAAGTGATTTTCCCTCTCTGTAACGCATAGTGAGTGTACGCATGGAGTTACAGCTTTCTGCTCTAACAAGTGGAAGAT